TCCATTTTAGCGAATCAGCGCGCTGTATTCAGGTCAGGTGACAAGGCTACTTTCACTTTGAAAAGACGTGCTAGCTGAGAGGAGTTTCGTCAAAGCTGACTAAAAGCGATCAAGGATGAATAATTTCGACGAACTTGATGAACCTGTTATATCTTCTTCAAGGCGAAAAAGGAAAATAAAAGCTGAAACGTTTTCACGGAACCTTGCAAAAGCAGCGCGTTACAATGGTGAGGGAAAAGCTCAGTGTAATCAAAACCATACAGTTTATGATCACAACAACAACAACAACAAAGTTTGTCAGACATCTACATTGTCATCTGAGGAGATTACAAAGATTAACGAGTGTTTTTTTAAACTCTAAAACATGAAATGTGGAGTTATCTGCTTTTGCCAAAAAAACAACCCAACTGCAGTTTGATTGATATTACTTGGAATGCGCAATAAAAAAACGTGATTTCTGAAAAAAAATAAAATAAATGGAGTTATCGGTTTTTGCAAATGAAGTCCTCATATGTTAACGAGCTAAAGATTGTGACATCTAAACAATGACAACTTTTGAGTCATTTTTGCAGATTAGCTTCAATAAATGGTCAATAAACTGCTAAAGAAAAATCTTTGACATATAAGAGTCATTAGAGGCAACAAGTCAAAATTTAGACATACAACATAAAATCAATTTGCTGAAATAGGATCGAGAGAGTTTGGTTCAATTTCACTAAGGTTAATGCCAAATCTTTGATCAACACTACCAAATGAAAAAAAAAAAAGTGCATAACAATGGACCAAAAGTTTAACATGGGAATGAGCAAACCTGTCTCTTAGCTAATGAAGACGAGTCCTGCAGCATGTCCATAATAATAGGGAACAGCTCATCCATCCATTTCCTCATCTCCAGTCCACTCACCTGGTACAAATTAAAGAAACAGACACTTAACAGCATGTCAACTGAACAAATGAAATGAACTTTCAGGGTTGAAGATATTTTGAGTGTAATGTAAATTTGAGTGTGAATATAAAACTCAAGTATCGGGAAAAAACTGCTGCTAAAAAACAATCTGGAAGCAACAGCGCTTGTCCTTAAGATCACTCTGTTCTTGTAAAGCTCATTCCGATGGCTCTAATCCATTCCTTAATACCAATCGCTGTACACACACATCTAACTATTTATCTGTTTCGGAAAACTTCAATTTGCTCTTACACTTAATTCCTCTTTTCCAAACTTTGCTACACCTACTTACCAAGTGTCCACAGATATTCTGTCTCTATGCTAGTATTCCCATCTCTCTCCTCCACAGAGCTACTCTGACGCTCCTCCGGAATGTTTGCTAAATATTGCATCTGAAAGGTACTGTAGATGATGTCAAAAGATCAGGCTAGGAAATGATCCATTACCTGAGCAAGTTCTCCAATAGTAGCTAAAACACAGATAACGACTCCAGGGTTTGGATCGGGATCTTTCAGCTTCAAGATGAGGGCCTGTGTGAAGAACACAATTGGAAAATCACAATTATTTAGTCTGACTTTGAGAACATCACAAAATCTAAATCCAGAAACGAGACTGGCAAGTCATTATTAGATTTGGGAATCCTAAGGAATTATTGTAGTGCTATTAAGTTCATTTTAAATAGAAATGCTAAAAAAAAAAAACATTAAATACAACAAAAATACAACACATTGTTACATGAATGAGTCATTCATATCATTATAGACCAATCCTACAAAATATATACATTACATCACATTATCTGACATATTTTTCTCTTTTCTACTGAAAGCCTGCGTGCTTATGTAGTTTTACAGAAATTATCTAAAAATATGTGAAAATAATGTTTACAGGGCACTTCAGGAAAATAAATATTGATTCTTCAAAAGTTCACGGTGTGGATTAAACCATGACAGATTAAAATTTTTTTATAAAAATAACATGTCTAACATCAGCCGGAACACTTATATTTTTCAAATCTCAACCATACAATTATGACTACTATCCAAGTACAAACAAATAAATTGGAGCACAAAACCAGTCTTAAGTCGCTGGGGTATATTTGTAGCAATAGCCAAAAAAACATTGTATGAGTCAAAATTATTGATTTTTCTTTCATGCCAAAAATCATTAGGATATTAAGCAAAGATCATGTTCCATGAAGATATTTTGTAAATTTCCAAGACTGGTTTTGTGGTCCAGGGTCACATTTGACAACAACCCCCAAAACACCTGCAGAGAACAGAGGATGTGAGTGTACCTTGAGAATGGGCTCCATGTAGGGGCGGATGAGTCGGGGGGCATTAGACACCAGGTGACCCAGCATGCGGGTGCTCTGTTCTTTGTTTCGGCCCACGCCACTATGTTCCAACTCGGTAAGGATCTGGACAGCGTTTTATTGCATTGGAAAGCACCACAAGTTTGACATTATTCAATTTTGTAACAACAGACACATCCATAACAGATGTGTGACAAAACAGCATTTAATATTTGATCAAAACAGAGTATAATAAAAAACAAATAAAAGTGAACTGTTCTACTGAGAGGGCAGTCGCACAATGTTAATGCTTCCATGCAATATAACATCTGCATAAGTTGCTAGTCAACATAAATAAATAAAAGTTAGTTAGTTAACTGAATTTGTTGATGTGTCAGGAAAACAGACTCAGGCCAAGCTGACTAGAGCTGCAGTGAAACAAAACAGCAGATATTTCAGCAGAAAAACATTTACTGACTGCCATCTGTTGGTAGTTGAGAAAAATGGCTACAGCTCCTCTTAAAAATTCTGCAGTGCATAGACCAATTTGGAGTAGACATCAGTTACGTCACATGCAGCTGCGCGTGCATTGTGGTGGCAGAAATACACTGGGAACAAGTGGAGGGAAACGGGTAAACTCCATGGAATAAGAGAAAAAAATGTATCGTTGTGCCTTTGGATGTCAGATACAGAATGCAAATAATTTTCATAGAATACTGTCATCAAAGACGCCATTTGAAGCTAAACGCAGACATTTAAACGAACAGACTATGGATGAAACCTGCTATGATTACTTTTAAAGCATAAATTTGATTTAAACAATAGGTCTACATAATATTCATATATGCAGTTCACAGGGGACATATTGTATTAGCCCTACAGTTACAGCATGAAATAGCCAACTATTTAAACCTATAACATTTACCTATTTTTTCTCACAATTCTGACTTTTTTCTCACAAATGCAAGATTATATCTCCTAGTTCAGACTTTATAACTCAATTTAACTCAACAATTGCAAGTTTGTCAATTCTGAGGGGGAAAAAATCCAGAAGTGTGGGATATAAACTCTCGATTCTGAGCCGAGGGGAAAAGAGAGAATGACGAGTTATCAGAATTGTGAAATATAATCTCGGAATTGTGAGAAAAAAGTCAGAATTTTGAAATACAAACTCAAAATTACCTGTTTTATTCTTTTATTCCATGGCTTCCATAGTCAGCTACTTTAAAACTGTCATTTTCTGCCACCAGATAGGCTCCGTCCACAAAAAAACACCAGAATTGGTCTATAGCATGAGTATGTACACTGTGCACAGTATGACGTTTATTATAACCTACTACATTTGGCAAAATGTGCTGTATACAAGAAAGAACACTGGGTGAAATACTGTAGCCCACAATGCATTACCTGACTTTTTTAAATTTATTTTTATTTTACCTATTTTAACTCCCTGAACCATCTACTACTTCTGTGTGGATTAAATAAGTATTTTCCTATGGTCCCATTCCGTCTGAAGAAACAAAAAGAAAAGCCTGAAAAACGTTTGAAAAATGCTCCAATAGCTTTCTCCCCAACTTAAATATTGATGTAATCAATATTTATTTATTCATTCATTCATTCACACTTTAGTTTGGAAACCAATTCTCAAAATTAACTAACCATTAACTATGACTTTTGCTTCAATAAACTAGTCATTTGCTTCTTATTAATAGTTAGTAAGGTAGTTGTTAAGTTTAGGTAGGAAATAAGATTAAGGGATCTAAATGATGGTCATGCAGAATAAGGCATAAATATGAGCTTTATAAGTAATAAATATGCATGCATGCGTGCATGTAATATACATGCTAATAAGCAACTAGTTAATAGTGAGAATTAAAAGTGTTATTTATTGTTTAGCACTGTGGGATTGGGGGAGTGTGGGTATACTTAAGGGAGGTTCTTGTAACAGTAAGCCCTTTTTCATTTAGTAATATTTATGTGGGTGGTTTGGGGTTGATAAAGAGAGACCTTTAAAACTGTTCTTTTATTTTGAAGAATGCACTGCAGTATTCAGAAAGCCCTAAGTTTGCTCCACTGCACACTTTGTCAAATGTAGTAGGTCATCTGGGTATGTCAAATGTACAGATATATACTCAGGACGCCAGATTGTGACTAAATGATCACATTTTGCAATCTTTTCTCCTGTTAGTGTGAATATTTTGTTAGAAGTCGTATTGGTGTCACCACAAAGTTGTCCAACTCTCTTTGATTTTAGTTGATATATGAGAAATATCAAGCCATAAACACTCCAAAACCAATCAGCAAAAATGAAACAGCGCTTATCCGTTTGAATAATTATAAATATTTAAATATATTTATAATAATTATAATACAAACTGACATTTACAATTCCTAAGCACACTTTTGGCCAGTGCTTATACTTGCACTTCTGCGTTATTCTATTCACAATACCCAGTAAGATAAGATCAGTGGTTCAAATGTGAAATGAAACAAAATATTCACTTTTATTGTTAACTGCACTTATTTCTGTAATACAATAATAACATAGTTGCTTTTATTATTAGTTCTGTCCTTACTTTTTTTTTATTTTTTATTTTATTCAACCTGCTCCTGCTACCAAATCAGAAGTTGGTGCCACCATCTGTACAACTTGATGTCACCAGTGTCAATACTCTATCTAATATGTTAGTCTGAACCATAGACTAGGGGTGCTCCGATTGATCGGTTACCGATCACTATCGGCCGATAATCACGTTGGGATGATCGATTGTTGATCATCCCAACGATTATCACGATTGGATGATCGGAGACGTTATTTCACAAACAGCGTGAGTGAATCACCACTCTCGCGCACGCTCTCTCTCTCTCTCTCTCTCTCAAAATACACAAATGGCTTCAAATCACCACACTATAGTCTGTCTATAAGCGAGCTGCACGCTGCACAGTTGACACAGGAATTGTCACTTGCACAATCCAGGCAGTGTCACATCATCACTAAAGTTTATAAATTGCATTACTTTTTAATTCTTGCCAGTGTTTAACCATTCAGCGCTCGCGCGCTCTCCTGGAGACCGTGCACTCATGCACACTGGCAGCGCACACACATAATGCCAAGTTCACATTATTCCGTTTGCAGTGCATACGTGGTGCGTATTTTTTCCGCGCTCATGTTAACAGATTAAAGCGTTCACTGCACACGGTTGCGGTCCGGAAGTGCGTTCCAGGAGCGGTGTGTCTGCAGCAGTGCAGAGATCGCAGAGTCTATTGCTGCGCTGCAAGCTCTGAATTAATGTAACAGCGCATTTTTTGCAGTAATATGAACATGGATTGACACGAAAATGTAGTAATTACACCATAAATGCATATAATTCAAGTCTACTGTGTTTCACAGTCAACACATGGCTTTCTGGCTAGGTTTAAAGGGAAAGAGCACTTTCAGATAAAGAAGGCAATAATAGATGGCACTCGTGGAGGTAGGAAAACAAAGTTCTTTATGAACCGCAGGATTGCTTGTAATAAAGACTTAAATGCAAAAGAAAAGGTAGAGCTGACTATTTCTGTCAATGGTAAATCTGTGATAACGTAAGAAAAGTAGTTTAAATGTTTTGCCACTTGCTTGAGCAACTTAATATATAAATCTAGAAGTAAATGCAAAAGTAAAAAGCATTGAATAATGTGTTGCTTATATTTATTGTTTAAACATGTCTGCACCGACAAGCTGCGCAAAACATGCGCAAAATATGATCGTGGTTTTGCGCAGCTTGTCGGTGAACAACGGCTCTGTGTAGTTAATGCTGCTGCATGTGAAAGCGATGTGAAGGTGATGGAGATTTACCGCTGATTACAGAATGGCTTTACTGACAAGATGCGCGTTAAATATCGCATGCGATTTATTGTGCAACCCTAGTCTGAACCCCTGATATTTCAAATATATAAGTATGAGTAGTGTGGTAGGATTCTATTTCAAATATAGCCACGTGCTGTAAAACATGCAAATACCTGAATGAGCATCTTGCGCAGAAAGGGCATAACAAATGCAGGGTTCATACTGCTGAGACGGCCGATAGTGCAGATGGCCAGTTCGCGGATCTCAAACACTTCATCATTAAGCGCCACAAACAGGGCTTGGAGGTTCTCTGCTTGTGCCAGGTGGGCATCAAAGCGCTCGTCCAGGGAGGCCAGCACACAGTATCGAATATCAGGGTCTGACAGGAAGTCACATATACATAAATTAGTGCACCAAAAACTTAAAGATTTACCCCCAGTTTCACAGACAAGGCTTAAGCCTAGTCCCACACTAAAATGTAAATCTGAGCTGTTTCAACTGAAAGAAACTTGCACTGATGGATCTTAAAATATATCAGTGTCTCAAGTTTTGTCTCAAGATGCACTCCAGTAATGTTTTTTTCTAAGGCACGTTTATAAAATATTACTTAAATGTCCTAATTGATCTATGGCCTAATCCTGGCTTAGTCTCAGTCCTGTCTGTGAAACCAGGCCATAATGTTCCAGATCAATTGCCAACAAAGTATGTCAATATTAATCAGGAATATAAGAGTTTCTTTTCAAAGTGATAAAATGTTATGTTGCAAAAATGAATACACCGTCCAGAATTTAACAAAATAGCACTAAATAAAACACTTCTGGTGCAAGTTAAAGGCAATTTTTTGATTAACAGGCGAGTATGTTGAAGCAAGACAATTTGAACAGGAGTAATTTCTTGACAATTAAAGCATTACATTACCATCTGAAAAATTCTCAGACTTAATACTAACAACAATAAAACCACTTTGGAGAGAATTGTCAGGAGACTTAAGCGTGTAAGTTAACAAGCTCCCTGAAATACTCAACCCCCTCATTTTGTGAAGAGTGATGTTTTCTTAGAGAAGAGCAAGAAAATGCCATGCAAGTGTCTAAGAGCTGGCAAAAGATATGAGAACTTCATCTCATACAGTAAGACGCATCAAACATCACTCAATATGTGACCCTGGACCACAAAACCAGTCATAAGTGTCAATTTTTCGAAACTGAGATTTATACAGCTGAATAAATATAAGGCTGAATAAATAAGCTTTCCATTGATGTATGGTTTGTTAGGATCGAGACAATATTTGTCCGAGATACAACTATTTGAAAATCTGGAATCTGAGGGTGCAAAAAAATCAAAATACTGGGAAAATCGCCTTTAAAGTTGTCCAAATGAAGTTCTTAGCAATGCATATTACTAATCAAAAATTAAGTTTTAATATATTTACAGTAGGAAATTTACAAAATATCTTCATGGAACATGATCTTTACTTAATATCCTAATGATTTTTGGCATAAAAGAAAAATCGATTAAAGGGGTCATATGATGCTGCTAAAAAGAACAGTATTTTGTGTATTTGGTCTTTATGCGGTTTAAGGTTAAAAAAACACATTATTTTCCACATACTGTACATTATTGTTTCTCCTCTATGCCCCGCCTTT